AGGCCAGCGGGCGGGGTCGGAGGCCCCGCGGCCCCTCACCCCCTCACCGAAGGCCTTGCGGGGCTCCGTGAGCTTCAGGGTGAAGGTGCGGCCCCGGGGCAGCTCCTTGAGCAGCCGGGCCACCTCGTAGTGCCGGCAGCCCAGCAGGCTCTGTCCGTTGATGGCCTCGATCATGTCGCCCACGCTGATGAGCTGGATGTGGTCGATCACGCTGCCCTCCTTGATGCGCTGTGGGCGCGGAGGCGTCAGGCCCTGCGGCTCGGCCGGCCGCGTCCTACCGCCGCCCGCGCCCCCGTCGCCCGTGTGGCCCCGGCACCTTGATGAAGGCGTAGCCAGCCCCGTTGTCCGTGATGGTGAGCCCTAGCGCGTCCTCCGACTTGAACACCTCCACCTCCTTGCGCTGCCCCTTGACGTGGGCGAAGATGAAGTCCTCCAGCCCGATCTGGCCCCCCAGGAGCTTGTCCATGTCCACTTTGTGGGTGTTGAGGGTACAGAACATCACCTGCAGGGTGGAGGTGCTCAGCCCTGGCTTCTTGCCCTCCCCCTCGCCAGCCGCCACTGGAGGGGAACGGGGTTGGGGGACTTCCATCCCGGTGCCGGGCCACCTCTAGCCAGGGAAGGGTCTCCACTAGCTGCCAGCTATGCTAGAATTAGGATTTCTCTGCTGCTGCTTTTTTTTTGAGTCAGAATCTCTGTCGCTCTGGCTGGAGGGCAGTGGCACGCTCACGGTCACCGCAGCCTTGACCTCCTAGGCTCAGGCGATCCTTCTGTCTCAGCTTTCCAAGTAGCTGGAACTACAGGTGTGTGCCACCACACCCAGTTAATTTTTTGATGTATTGTGGAGACAAGGTCTCACCATGTTGCTCAGGCTGGTATTGAACTCCTGTGCTTAGGCAATCATCTTGCCTCTGCCTCCCAAAGTGCTAGGATTACAGATGTGAGCCACCACGCCTGGCTAGAATTTCTCTTTAAAAAATTTTTAAGCCGGGCTCGGTGGCTCAGCCTGTAATCCCGCGCCTTTGGGAGGCTGAGGTGAGTGGATTGCCTGAGCCCGTGGGTTCGAGACCCGCCTGGGCAGCGAGACCTCATCTCTACAATAAATCAAAGAATTAGCTGGGCGTGGTAGCACGCGCCTGTAATTCCGGCTACTCGGAAGGCTGAGGTAGAAGGATCGCCTGAGCCTAGGAGGTCAAGGCTGCGGTGACCGTGAGCGTGCCACTGCCCTCCAGCCTGGGTGACAGAGTGAGACTCCAACTCAAAAAAAAAAAATTTTTTTTAAAAAAGAGACAATGTCTCGCGCTGTCACCCAGGCCGGAATGCAGTGGTACAATCATGGCTCACTGCAGCCTCGACCTCCTGGGCTCAAGAGATCCTCCCATCTCAGCCTCCCAAGTAGCTGGGATACAGGTGCGCGCCAATACTCCCGGCTAGGATTTCTGTCCGAGCAAAATCTCACGGCTGTTTCCAGGGAATAGAGCCTGGCACACGGGGAGGTGGGAAGGGGGAGAGGGGAGCTCAGCAAATGCTTATGGGGGGCACAGACTCCCTTCCACTCACTGAGACCCCAGCATCTACATCCCGCTCCATCCCACCGTTGCCCTTCTAGACCCCATCCCTTTTGCCTCGCAGTTCTTGGGGTGAGGCCTCCCAGTGCATCATGGTAAGTGCACCAAGCGTCTGACCTCCAGCATGCCACAGTCTACTGGGGTACAAGCCTCCCGGTGCCCGGTGGGAAGACAGCACTGGGTGCCACAACCTCCAGTTCCCCATAATTCAGCGGGACCCAGGCCTCCCGGTGTCTGATGGGAAGTCGGCGTTCAGCCCTGACCCCCAACTCCCCATAATTCACTGGGCCCCAGGCCTCCCGGTGTGTGATGGAAAGGCGCCCAGCTCTGACCTCCAGGAACCCGTAATTCAGAGAGGCGTAGGCCTCCCGTTACATGATAGGAACTTGAAGTCTGGCCCCCATGACCTCCAGTTCCCCATGATTCACTGGGGCACAGGCCTCTGACGCTCGATGGGAAGTCAGCGTCCAGCCCTGATCTCTAGTTCCCCATAATTCACTGGGGTGCAGGCCCTCCATTGCCTGATGGGAACTCGGAGCCCACCCCTGACCTCCGGTTCCCCATAATTCAGTGGGGCACAGGCCACTGGTGCCTCATGGGAAGTTAGCGCCCATCCTCGACCTCCATTTCCCCATAATTCACTGGACCCAGGCTTCGTGGTGCCTGATGGCGAGTCGGTGCCCAGCCCCGACCTCCAGTTCCCGGTAAATCAGAGCGGCGCAGGCCTCCCATTGCCTAACGGGAACTCGGAGCCTGGCCCCGACCTCCAGTTTCCCACAACTCACTGGGGCGCAGGCCTCCCGGTGCCTGACGGGAAGTCTGCGCCGCCCCCACAGCCCACGGCGGTGCAGGCCTGAGCCGCTTCCGCATCCGAGCCGGCTCGTCCCCGCCCCCGCCGCCCACCCCGCGGGTACCTCGGCGGTGGGCAGGCGGAAGGCCTCGGCGATCTTGCCGTACAGCTCCTTGACGTTGGTGAAGCCCTCGATGCGGCCCGTGGGGCTGCCGTGGGCCAG